AGATGCAGAATTAGGAGGTCTCAGCCCTTGTAAAAGGAGACAATGTTGTTTGGGATGGAAGCCCTTCCTGTGTGGTCCCAGGGATCTTAAAGTTGGAGATACATGACAATGTAATGTGTTACAACTTGTTTCAATTCATTCTTGTAAACATCGTATTTTTAAAAGGTAGTAATAAAAACTACAAAACATACACTAAATAAAAATTTTAAATAAAAGAGAAATAGCAACCAAAAATTGATCTTAATATAAGTACAGAAAGTATCTGTAAGATGTCAGGAAATGGACCATCTGTGACATTCTGTTAGTCAAGACAAGTATCAGCAGCTACTGTAGCAATTGACCTCAAAATGTCTGACTAAACTCAAGAAAGATCTATTTCCCACTCATAGCACAGTGAGGAGGCTCTCCCACAAGGGCCACACTGGTGCCAAGATCTTTATAAACACGTGGCTTCAAGGCTGAACTAGCTTCAGCAGATTGGCAGATGGAAGAACAAAGAAAGTGGAGAAAACATGCCTTTTCTTTTGTGTGTGTATTTTTAAAGTAAGTTTTCGTTGTTTTGTATTTAGGCTATTTTACTTAATATTCAGACAAGCATATGTGTTTAGATCAAATCTACCCCCTTCCTTCTCCGTGCCAACTTCGTCCCTGCACCTTCATGTTCTCTAACTCTTCTTCTCATACTTGCTGAGTTCTCTTCCTATTGACTGCACAGGGTAGGACCACCTGCTGGAACTCGGGCCGCCTATCAGGGCTCTTCAGACGGGAGAGGTACTTCATGAACCCCTTCTCCCATCCACACGGACATTGTCACTAGCTTGGTGGTGTGCACACAGTCCCAGCTCCGCTGAGGTCACGTGTGTGACGGCTGTATGCCACCTCTGACGTCTTGCTACAGTCATCTACTCCCTCTCTCTTACCATCTTTCTCACTCCACTTCTATGATGACTTCTGAATTTTGGGTGAAGGAGTGTGACATAGACGTTCCATTTAGAGCTGAGCATTCTGCAGTCTCTTAGTCTCTGAATGTTGCTCTTTTGTGAATCTCTGTGTTGTTATCTACTGTAAAAATAAGCTTCTCTGATGAGGGTTGAGATATACTATGGGTATAAAGAGAAGAACTAAGGAGCAGTTGGTCACATCTGTTTAGCAGAATAAACAGTACTCTGCTCTCCTCTAGGGCCTATGACCTAGCTAGCCACCAGCTTTGGCCTTGTTACTGGTTCCAGGCATCGGTAGCATCTCGTACAGAGGGTTTCAAACCCACCAGAAAGCGGCTGATTACTCTTAAGACACCCATTTCACTATTTTATCAGTGGATGCGTTTCGCCAGGTCGGCCATTATTGTAGCTCCCCAGGTCACCAGGTTGCTGTGCAAGGCTGTTGGTGATTTTTCTCTCCCAGTGTGTGCATTTTTCTTTTCCAGTGTCCTGAAAGCTACCCCATGGGAGCAAAACTTCTGAGGCTTAGTACTAGCTTAGTTTCTCCATATCCATGACTCATGCATGTGGTGTCTTTAGAAATAGTGTCTTACCATCAAGTTTGGGATTGTAACTAAGAGGAATGGCCATAGGCTATAATGACTGGGGAGGTCTATGGGAACCTATTGACCACAACTCAAAACTGGGTAACCCATACTTGACACTGGGCCTTTATTTGATAGTTTCTGGTGTCTAGTGGAGGTACACTCCCCCACCCCTTTACAGGGGCATACCTTGTTTTTCTTTTCTTTTTGTTTTTCAAGATAGGGTTTCTTTGTGTAGCCTTGATTGTTCTGGAACTAGCTCTGTAGACCAGGCTGGCCTCAAACTCACGGAGATCCACCTGTTTCTGCCTCTTGAGTGCTGGGATTAAAGGCATGCGCCACCACTGCCCAGCAAGCAAACCTTTTCTTAGTTGTTCATCAGGGTTATATGCCATTGGTGAGGGTAAATCGCATGGCTGAATATATATCCAAGGAGTTTAGAAAATTAAATCATTTATTTTAGAAGTGAAAATGGGTTTGGTGAGCATCTAGCAGTCATGTCCCACGGAGAGAAGGGTGTTACCGCAGCTGTTAGGAACAAAGCCTAGCAGTCATGTCCCACGGAGAGAAGGGTGTTACCGCAGCTGTTAGGAACAAAGCCTTGGCGTTGGCAGCTCTAACACAGGCTCAGAAACCAGTCCCGAGAAGGCAAAGTAGACAGACAAGTAATGCTGAAAAGCAGAGAATGGTTTGTTCACTGTGACCATTCTAGGAACGTTAATAAAGAAAGAGGTCTAGTAACTCCCGAAGTCCATCTTTAGGCCCAGGCACGAGGTTCATGTTTAAAAAGAGGGCAAGGGTTGTACACATAGATAACAGAGTGGGCTCCTCCCTGTCAGCATTGTCTCAGTTCCAGTCTCTAGCAAAAGGCTTGACTCACAAGTAGTCTGAACTTGTGAAATTTCTTCCTGGTGACAAGTTTCTCGTCTGGTCAGCACTTTAGCCTTTCCTTTTCCCAGAAAGATTCCTGGGAGAAATTCTTTGCCAAAGGGAAGGGTACGAATACTTCTTTAGAGTGTCTTCACTACAGCCAGGACACTTCCTCAGAGAGAGGGACTTCACTGGGATGCCTCGCCTGTAGTCAGAGTAGCACCGCATCTGACTTCCCTGCTCTGTTTTCTGCTGGCCTGAAGCAGCAATCACTTCTCCTCTGCTCTCAGAACACCACCTTGCGTGTTTCCACGCCATCCAGTTCTTCCTAAATTCCTTCCCTTTCATCCTCTTCCTCCAAATCTACCCAAGTTTCCCTTGTCTTTTAAGATGTTGTTTATTCTGGACTTCTCCCTAACGATCCTTAGCACAGAACTAGGCATTCATTCAACTTTTAATCCGTCGAATGTACCACTATTAACTATTGAGCACATGGGCTTATATCAGAATTATCAAGGACCGAACACATTTCCAAAAAGATTGAGTATATTATGTAGAGAATAAATACATTGAGAATCTAGGAGATATTGTCAGACCTAGCTTCCCCCAGAGCATGGAGTAAGTCCTGTGTTTCTTACCATCTTACTCTCTCCCGTGTCTACCTGGCCTGGTTTAAGCACTCAAAAGGGGAGGAGAAAAGGAATGCCGTCTCCCCTCTTTTCACCCTCCAGTTCTATATGGTATCTTTTTTTGTGTGTTCTTATGCATTTTGTATTGTGGTTTAAGTAACAACAGAAAAATTACTATCTTAATCATGATTTAGTGATTGGTACAAGCCACATTAGCTATGTGCACTTTGTTGTATAACTGATTTCTATATCTTTTCCATCTTCCCAAACTGTAACTCTACACCCATGAATAACTTCCTTTCTTTCCCCAGCTCCTGATACTCTGTCCCACTTCCTATCCCTAAGACCTTGGCTACTTTCTGTAGCTGCAATTTCTTTGTGTCCTGGCAGCTTCTCCCAAATAACCACACAGAGACTTCATATTAATAACAAATTCTCAGCTGGTAGCTTTGGCTTGCTTTTAGCTAGCTATTGTAACTTAAATAGACCCATTTCTATTAATCTGTGTGCTGCCCCGAGGCTTGTTTACCTTGTGTATGCACTTCCCATCCTTCTTGCTCTCCATCTCATCGTGTCTTCTCTGACTCTGTCCTTCTTCCCAACATTCTCTGTCCCGAAAATCCTGCCTAGCCATTAGCCAGTCAGCTTTTTATTAAACACGAGAGCAACATGCCTCACAGCGTACGGAAGAGTTATTCTACAGCAGCTTTAGGTAGCTCATAGCTGGAATGATTGAGCACTCCTCCTTTCATACTGGTTTATTTGTGTAGCACGATGTCCTTAGGGTCACCCATGGTATAGGACAAGACAACTTTACCTTCATTTACCAAAGCCAATTGGTAATTCATTAAACATCTATGGCCTAAGCTATTCTAGAAATTTGATATAGGAAGACTGCTTAGTAAGCCCTAGAGTTCTAGGTCAGCCTGGACAATATAGTGAGAAGACATTTTTTAAGAGTTCATCATATTTAAGCATCATTCTTTGTTTATTTATCTACTCTAGTGTCTATGTTTGACTGGTGGGTCACGGGAGGGGAATGGTGAGAAATTATGTTTTCTGTAGTTCAGCAGGAAACGTGCTCAGCACATTTGAATCTTTCAGGGTGGTTATTGTCAGAAACTAAAAGAAACTGTACTTGGGTACAAAGGGGACTTATTTATTTATTTGAGACAGGGTTTCACTATGTGACACTGGCTGTTCTGGAGTCCCTGTGTAGAGCAGGTTGGTGACCTTCTGAGCATAGAAACATATGACAAAGAGCGGGAAGGCTAAAGTAGAAACTAGCCCGGGCAGCACAGGCAGAGCCATCTCAGGGAACAAAGAGGAGTTTGCGTCTCCTGTCCAGTCCTCCCTGTGGACACGGACTAGTGCTCTGCTCAGCCATGCGATGCTGGTTCCTAATAAAAAGATGTTGACACTCCAGATGCCACTAACTTACCTCCATCTTCCCAGGACCCCTTCAGATACCTCCTGTCTCTCAGAATAGGCCCATTGAGAAACGGAAAAAAGCCCAATTTCAAAGCAGAGCAAATAACTAAAAAGACAAGCAAGAACCCTTTTAACTGTGTGTGAGGTGTTTGGGAGAATGTTATGGAGGAGCCCCAGGATAAGCCCTGGCCTGTCCTAGCTTTAGCAGTCTCTCACAGTGTTTTCTATTGGAGGTAGTCTTAGGCCCTTAAAAGGGGCATCCACACGCTTTATTTCTGCGTGTCATCATGAAAGAATCTAAAGTATCTTTATATTAACACGGTCCTTATTTTTTAGTGAGCTATTATTAAATAATGTAACTGGAATGTGTGCTAAAAAGAATCCAAATAGACTGCTAGAACTTTCTTTTATATAAAAAAATCACATTAAAAATCCTGACACTTCAAATTCCGCAGTTTTGGTTAAAGTATGCCAAATATAGCTTGCAATAGTAAATGACCTTTCCAAAGCGACATCCGCAAATTAATTGGTGCGTGAACAAAGAACTCTTTCTGCAGCTTCATGAATGTTGCCTTTATTTTTTTTTTTTCTTCGCAAATAGGATTTTACAAAACCGCTGTAGAACATGTTGACCACTGACAAAACGATAACACACTTTCGGTGAGGGCCAGCGTGGACACAGGACCGCGGGATCGGCAAGGGGCTGCCCCCTAGCCCGGCTCTCCTCTGGTCCCCGGCGGGGCCAGGCTGCCCCTCCCCCGCTCCCGGCTCGGGTTTCAGTCTTCCGAGTTGAGCAAACTTGCTGCAGGCGGATTGGCGGCGAGCAGCTCCCGGGCTCCGGCGTCGTCCGCGCGACCACCGCTCCTTTGTGTCCCGCGGCCGCCGCCCGGGCACAGCGAGGAGGGCTCGGCGGGCAGCTCGCTCCCCTGCGCGGCGGACTCCCGGCGGGGGGACACGTGCTGGGCCGGGTCACCGCGGGGCGGAGGCGGAGCCGGGGCGGAGGCGCGGCGACCAGGGGCGGCGACCGGGGATCCGCAGCGCTGCCCGCGCCCCCGCTGGCCGCCCGCGCCGGGCCGGCTCTGTCTGTCGGCAGCACCGCGGTGCAGGCGCGCGAGGGCCGCGACCGGGGATGAGCTGCCTGCGGTGAGAAGCCGCCCTGCCAGCCGCGATCATGTACGTACGCGTCGCCGTCCTGCTACCGTCCGGGTCCGGACGTGCCACGCGCCCTGGCTGCGCCCACCCGCTCACCGCGCCCCTCTCGGCCCCGCAGGTCCATCCACATCGTGGCGCTGGGGAACGAGGGCGACACGTTCCACCAGGATAACCGGCCGTCGGGGCTCATCCGCACCTACCTGGGGAGAAGCCCGCTGGTTTCGGGGGACGAGAGCAGCTTGTTGCTGAACGCGGCCAGCACGGTCGCGCGCCCGGTGTTCACCGAGTACCAGGCCAGTGCGTTCGGGAACGTCAAGCTGGTGGTGCACGACTGTCCCGTCTGGGTAAGGGGCAGCGGCTGCGCGGTGCGCAGGCCAAAGGAGCCTGTCGTTTGGATCCTTCCTCCCCTCGTTTCCTATTTTCCTGACTGCCTGGCGAGCGGTTATTTTTTTATTTTATTTTAGTTAACATTTTTGGCAAATCTTGTCCTTTGTTTCAGTATGGAGGTGGTGGAGCAGCCCTGTCACAAAACACGTCTGTAGGGTAGAAAGTCCCAGGGGAATGTAGCGCAGTTACGGTGCTGCACGTAGACAGCTGAGCGTTGACTATGCTGAAACCAAGGGACAGGGTCACGAAGTTCCACCCTGTGGAGGATAGGGACATGTGTGCTATAAATACCGTCCTTTACCGCCCAACATAGGCAAAAATACTCTTTTCCGGGAGAGGTCAGAAATAGTATGGAAAAAAGGGAGAAAGGACGGAGTGTAAGAACTAATTTTAAACGGCTCATTTGTAGACTTATAACCTCGGGAGCGGGGGTTTAGTTTTTAATGATGCAAATACTGCTGCATTAGCCACTGTTTTTAGTGATTAATAAATTAGAAGTATCATTAATGTTACTTAGCACTTTAAATTTTCTTCATGTTTATGATCGTTGAATGAAAGAAATGTGACGAAAGGACAAAGGAGTCAGCTCCTTGACTTGCAGATATCTTCACAACACAGTGACACTATATTTCAAATGTTTTCGCTTATTTTTAAACCTGTAATTCATTGCTAATATTGTAGTGGTATGTGTTTCAGTTAAAGATAAACATATGAAACTTTTGGGTCTTGTAAGGGCATAACTTATGTGAGATTCTTTCATTAAACGGGCAGATTTTTTTTAAAAAAAGAAATGAATCAGAGCTAAGGGGAAATAGAATACTTTGGAACAGAAGTATGTAGAATGTACTGAGGAAATTTTCTCGAGCATATTTTCCTATTGTGGAAGACTCTCTTTGACTGGAGATGGATATTAATGTGCTAAAATAAATTTTAAGTAGACTTTTCAATTAAAAGAATGGACTTAGCCTCCAGGTATGGCAGCAATGATGGTATCAGAAGAAGCCACTGGTGAGGGCTTGTGGGCTGATGTCTGTGCTAGCACGTTTACTCTGGGCCCTTTACTACGAAAGAGCTTCTAGCCTGAAAGTATTACTTGTTCAGCATACTGTTGAATGAACATTTAGTGGATTGAGGAAATAAATACAGAGAAAATAAAATAATATGGCTTGGGATATTGGGATTATTTCTCCTAGTTTCAAGTTAACCCTTTACTTCCTGTGTTTGTCCACTTAGCAAAGAAGCACTCATTTTATAAAAATAAAATAGATAAAACAAAAATCTTCAGAAAGGATTAAATACTCTTTGTAGTCTTGCTGACTGTTATAGCGTGCTAAGGGAATTCTCGTTTTGTGTGCTCACAGTCTGTGATACCAAGTTTGTCACCAGGTACCATTTCCCATACTAGGGTGGGTCTTCAGACATAGTGAGTTACGTATGTAGAGTTTTTCTGAGCTGCTGCTTTTTCCTCTTGAACATAATAAGTAAATTCTGCCAGAAGTATGAACATTGGTTTAACCAATCAGCTGGCATTGGCAGGCGTGCTGAATCAGAATATCAAACACAGCACTTTTGACAACAAAAGGAACTGATCTCAGAGCCCTGATTTGTGTGTGTGAGTGTGTGTGTGTATGTATAGTGTGTGTGTGTGTGTATGTATAGTGTGTGTGTGTATAGTGTGTGTGTGTGTATAGTGTGTGTGTGTGTGTGTGTGTGTATAGTGTGTGTGTGTACATTTTCACCTTCTCTCAGACTTGTTTTCCCGTCTCCTGGTGCGGTGCTGAAGGGTAAAGTCTCAAGAGTGCTGGCTGCTGTAATAAAGTGCACATTATAGCTTTAGTGTAGTTATATGTCGCTTGCATTAAACATGGGAGAGGTGCTCTCGTCAGTCAAGGTTTATACCGACGCAGGATTTTCAGTGCACACACTAGTCGAATAGGATGAAGTCCTTGTTTCCTTGTAGGAACTCGGGTTTTTGTTTTTGTAAAGACGAATCTGATTCTCCAGTGTAGCTCCAAGTTTGCTGTTGCATAATGTCCCAGTAAAATGCTGGAACTGCCTTACAAGGGGTGGGACAAATGGATTTCCTCTAGATTTCTAGAAACCAGTGGAGCTGTGACAACTTAAAAAGAAATGTCGCCGCTGCCTTGGAGTTGGAAGGAAACTGGAAGTATTCCCCTCCCAGAGTTGCGTTCTGTAGCTTGCTACCCCTGCTCTGCCTCTTTGCTGTCTCTGTGTACTTGAAGCTTTTTAAGTAAACATAATTCAAATGATTAGATGAAGTTCATAGCTTAGTTCTGCCTACCTCTCTCTTTTGTAGTCATATTATGTTATTTTTCTGTCTGTTAGAAGTTTGTTCCAAAGCAGGTTAGCTGGGCATCCTGGCTCGTGCCTACAATCCCAGCAACTGGGAAGAGGAGAGAGGGTTGTGAGTGCGGGACACGCTGGGATCCTGTCTCAAAAGCCCGCAGATGAACAGATGAATAAAAGATAAACTGTGAGATGATGCCTTCATATTTTCTTGTACAGTTTGCAGCTGTGGATTGCATTACAAATAAAAGTGTTTATAGTTGTTTTATCCTCAATGCCACAGAGGAAATTAATAATACCCAAATCCTCCTTTCGCCAATGTTTTGCCTCTCCAATAACTCTGGAATTCTGAACTATTTGGAATGTGAAAAAATGATTTCTAACTTGTTCTCTGGACTGGTTTTGAATCCCATGTGCCGGACTCTTCTATTGTTCTGTGATCCTTCAGCTTCCACGCTGTGCTGCCTCTGCATATCCTGAACCAGAGTGTTTGTAGATACAGTTGGGACCAACGGGCGTTTGTGATTTGGGGTCCATGTCCTCAGTTCTCCCCTCACCCTAACACTGTAGCAGAACCCGCACTCAGCCCTTTGCCTTTGCCACTGACCATTCAGTTTCCTTTCTGTCTCTGTTGTTTTGAACTCCTTTCAAATGCTATATCCATTGTGGTTTGGATGATACATCCCTGTTTAAAGTTCTGCAGTGCAGCTCTCATTCTGAATAAGCTTGCTGAGAGATGGGCAGCTGAGGGTCTGGAAATGGGACAAGAGCTCGTCTCCCCACAAGGGCATGTTTGTCATAGCCTCTCAGCTCTGCCACTTGGGTCTCGCTTGCCTGCTGATTTGAACACTTTTAACCTCCTTTTGGGCTCACATACCAAAGTGTAAGATTCTGTAACCCAACAGTTTCCTAACTTGATTATGTCTTAGAAAAAGGCCACATGAAAGAAATGATTAATCATTAACTAGAATTTAAGAAGAAAACTTTTTGTGCATATTTGGCAGTGAAATTAAGATGGCATTTTCTTTATATGCTATTTTCACAAAACTTTGCAGATATTATCATAGAACTAAGTTCCATAATAAATTACATATGATTCTAGTTCTAAATATGAATATTAACTATAGTCTTATAGTAAGAATTTCTGAACAGTTTTGTCCTGAATTTTGAGTATATGAGCTCAATACATAAAATGCAAACACAGGCCTTTACAATTAACACCTTGTAATGTACAATGTGTCTTATAGAGTCATATTTTCTCCATGCTCAAATGGGTACTATACAAATATAAAGTTAAAGATTATATACTAATTTCTTCAAATGTGTGTAAGGTAAAAGGAATACAAGATTCACAGTGTGAGAACACACAGAAACCCCGCAGTGTCTATCTGGGTCACAGGAAAGCTTCTGACCTTGACTGCACAGTGTTACAGCTTTGGAACTGCAAGTGACTAAAATCAGCATAACTTCAAAATAGAGTGGACAGAGGTTGCTCATTTCATCAAACAAATGCTGTAGCTATGGGGTCTTACTAGTGTATAGTTGTTTAGGGTAGTGAAGAAAAAGTGTTTTAAATAGATTATCAGGTATCAGACATATTAAATTTTATGTGGTTACCCTTTTGTCTTAGTTATTTTCCTGCTATTATTTTCCTATTACCATAACCAAGATAATTTATAAAAGAAAACATTTATTGGGGCTCACAGGTCCATAGGGTAAGTCCATGATCACCAGGTGGGGAATGTGGCAGAGGAAGGCAGACATGGGGCTGGGTCAGTAGCTAAGAGCTTACGTCTGATTCACAGGTACAAGGCAGTGAGAAGGCTAGTTGAGAATGGCCTAGGTTTTTGAAACCTCGAAGCCTGCCTTCTCTCCCCCCAGTTACTCACCTCCCAATCCTTCCTGAACAGTTCCACCAACTGGGAGCCCAGCATTCAGTTTCTCTGGGGGCCGTTCTCATTAAAACCACCATAGCATTCAAAAACACATTTGCATGCCTTCTCAAGACTAACATACACTAAACATTTAGACAGTATCTTATAACTAATCTGGCAATTAGTTTGGGAATTGATTTGAAGATAGACAAACTAAAAGGTGATGTTTGCATTTTTGTTTAGGACATTTTTGACAGTGATTGGTACACCTCCCGAAACCTAATTGGGGGTGCTGACATCGTTGTGATAAAATACAATGTAAATGACAAGTTTTCATTCCACGAAGTAAAGGATAATTATATTCCAGTGATTAAACGAGCATCAAACTCAGTTCCAGTGATCATTGCAGCTGTTGGGACCAGGCAACATGGTAAGTGCACGATTTCCTTTTATGATGAGCATGCAGTGTTTACAAAACTTTGTTTACTAATGATTAATATAGTTTTATTTTGAAAGTCAAAACAAACAGTTGTCACCTCATTGTTCTATACAGTAATCAGGTGTCAGAGGAGAGGCTCGCAAATATACCCAGTGCGCTTTGGGTGTAAATCGTCCCTTAAGTTGCTCCTCTACTGTCCATCAGTAATTGTGTTCTTTTGACACTTTGAGCCATAGTCATCTCTTTTAAGGTCCATTTGACGGGCAAGGATAGGTTATCCATGAAAAGATGTGGCATGTGAGCGCGGTTGTTAGGCAGACTGAGGTGGAAACACTTGACAGCACTGCCCCAGGAAAGGGCTACTTATTACCACCCGCTTAGTAGGATCCTGGGTTCCTGCTGCCCCGGCCTTTACTGCTGTGATCATCAGATATCAGGGCCAACTCAGGACTTGTTTTGATTTCGTAGCATTTTGTAAGTTTGCTCAGGGTTATTTCCTTAGTAAGGCTGTCTTTACATTTTAATTCTTTTTTTAAACAACTTTTATTATTATTGTTAAGGCATAGAAAATTGTCTTAGGTTTCCATTGCTGTGATAAAACAAAATGACCAAAAGCAACATGGGGACTGTTAATGCTTCCACGGAAAAGGCCATTACTGAGAAAACTCCCCACAGTAACTCAAGCAGAGCAGGGACCTGGAGGCGGGAACTGAAGTGGAGGCCAGGAAGGAGAGCTGCTTACCGGCTTGCTCTTCATGACTTCCTCAGCCTGCTCTCTTATAGAACCAAGACCACCAGCCCAGGGGTGGCACTGCCCACAAGGAACAGCTGTGCCCTCCCACATCAATCTTCAACCAAGGAGATGTGCCACACACAGGCTGCTCACAGGACAGTCTGGTACGGCATTTTCTCATTTGCAGTTTCCTCTTCCAAAATATCTCTGGCTGGTATCAAGTTGACAGCAAACTAGCCAGCACAGTAGGGAACATCTGATTGGCTAAACTGACAGTACAGCTTACTATGTCTTACTTACTTAATGTCTATGTCATGGAGGAGGGTTTAGAATGTTTGTGCTGCGTCAGAAGGCTTCCTGAGGCAGCTACACTAGGTGATTACAGCCTCCATGTCGAGAGCTGTTGTTCTGGCTTCTGACATTAGTCACACCTGTTCTTGAACTCGGCACAGAGCTGCATAGTCGGAGTGTGTATATATTGCCTCCTCATTTAATCTCTGTATGTTATGCCATTGTATGAATGTGCCATCAACTATGTCTCCACTGTCCTTTTGATACTTGGATTGTTCCTTGGAGTGGATTGCTGAAGCAGAGGGCCGGTTTATGTTTCTTTCACACTAGTACTTACAGAGAAAACAAGCTTAGCCCACCCTTGACTTCACTTTCTTAGGAGGTCTTCTCTAACTATTTTCCTGTTCATGATTCTTTTTTTTTTTTTTTTTTTTTTTTTTTCGAGACAGGGTTTCTCTGTGGTTTTGGAGCCTGTCCTGGAACTAGCTCTTGTAGATCAGGCTGGTCTCGAACTCATAGAGATCTGCCTGCCTCTGCCTCCCGAGTGCTGGGATTTAAGGCGTGCACCACCACTGCCAGCTTTTGTTCATGATTCTTGAAAGAGTTTCCTTAGTTCTTGGGTTGCCTGGGGCTTCAGTCCTCCAGCCAGCCTCCCGAGCTTTCTGTCCGGTTGCCTTTGTTTGAAGTTCTTCAGAGGGAGCCCTACAGTGTCAAATTTGTTTCATTTAGTAACAGTTCTCTCTGCAATCATCCAAACTTTTCCCCATACTACAGCCACTGATTCCTGGCTTTTCTGCCCTCTGCCCTCTCCTCTGGTCCCTTCCCCACCTCTTTCTCTCACAGCAACCACATTCAGTAAGCTAAGTACCTTGTTTGATTTTATGCTAAGTAAATCTCAAACTCATTGCATTGTTGCCATCCCTATTTGGTGTCAATTCTTCGTCTTTTAATCCTTTTTTTAAAAAAAAGTTTTGGTGATTTTTTTTTCTTCTTTATTTATGTGTGTATGTGTGCCTGCATGGGTTTATGTCTGCATTTCCCATGCAGTTCTCTCCAAGGCCAGAAGAGGGTATCCGATCCCCTCACTTTGCCTAGTGTGGGTGCTGGGAGCTGCACCTGGCCATCTGGAGGAACAGCAAGTGCTCTTAGCTGCCAAGCCATTTCTCTAGGACCTCATTTAATCTTTCATGGTGGCATTTTTGGTTTTCTGAAAGGGTAAGTCGCAGGTATTTGGAAGTGCACAGATTTATACAATTTTACATCCACACATTCAGGCAAACAAATAGAAACAAACAAATATTTATTTATAAATGCACAAAGAATACGACAAATTTCAAACGTGACAAAGCTGCCAAATGCTACGAATGTCTAAAAGATGTTTCTACTTAATAGCTTACCACTCCTTTTTTTAAAAATTTATTTAAATAACATTTTTTCATTTATTTTTCATACCAACCAGTTTCCCTCCCTCCTCTCCTCCCAGCTGTACCCTCTCTTTCCCATCGACTCCCCTCCACTTCCATTCAGGAAGAGACAGGCCTCCTGTGGACTGGTGCAAAGCAGGGCACATCAGGTTGAGGCAGCACCGAGCTCCTCCCTTTAGGCCGGGGTGGGACCAGGTAATCCAGCACGGGGAACAAGTTAGTTACCAAAGCCAGCTAAGCTCCAGAGAGAGGTACTGCTCTCACTGCCTTACTAAGAGACCAAGTTACACGATTGCTGCACACATGCAGAAGGCTTGGTCGGTCCCATGCATGTTGGTCCAGAGTCCATGAGCTACTGTGATCTCAGGTCAGGTGTCTTTGTGGGTTTGTCCATCATGAACGCCCTGGCTGGTAAAATCCCTCACTGCTTTCCTTCTCTGAACTCTCGGAGAGCAGCGCAGTGCTTGTCTGTGGATCTCTGCCTCTGTTCCCATCAGTTACTGGAGAGAGTCTCTCTGATGGCAACTAGGGAAGTCACCAATCTGCTTACAGTAGATGGCCAGTTCAGGCACCCTCTCCACCATTGCTAGGAGTCTTAGTTGGGGTCATCCTTGTGGGTTTCTTGGGGTTTCCCTGGCACCAGGTTTCTCTCTAAATCCAAAATGCTCTTCCTATCAAGATGTCTCTTTTATTACTCTCCACCTCCATCCTGACTCCAACCTGCTCCCTGTAGTTCCCATCCCACCATCCCCCAATCTCCACCCCCAGTTTACCCAGATCTTTTTCTACTTCCTCTTCCCAGGGAAATCCATGCATCCCTCTATGGGCCCCTTCTCATCTAGCCTCTCTGGGGCTGTGGACTGTAGGTTGGTTATCCTATCCTGTATAACTACCTATGAGTGAGTACATGCAGTGCTTGTCTTCTGGGTCTGGCTTACCTCACTCAGAATGATTTTTTCCAGTTCCATCCATTTGTCTGCAAATTTCATGAGGTCATTATTTTTTTACAGCTGACTAGTACTCCATTGTGTAAAAGTACCACATTTTCCTTATCCATTCTTCAGTTGAGGGGCATCAAGGTTGTTTCAACCTTCTGGCTTAAAGCTGCTATGAACACGGTTGAGCAAGTGTCCTTGTGACATGATTGCAAAATTTTTGGGTATATGCCTAAAATTGGTATAGCTAGGTCTTGAGGAACTTACCACTTCTTTATTTATCTTTATTTTTTAAATTCTTTTGTCTTTTGGGTTGTAAAGTCTTTGATATCTTCATATGAATTACTTTGTAATATTTCCTGTAGAGAGAAGAGAGTGATAATTAGTTTTTGTCTTTTCTTATTTCTTCACTCTCTGGCCCCAGAACCCTGAACCTATGCTGTGTCCTATTTCAGCTCAGTTGTGACCTCATGTCATGTCTGCACTGTGGTCCCTCCAGCACCAGGACAGTTGGTGCCTCATCATGGCATGTCCGCACTGTGGTCACTCCAGCAGCAGGACAGTTGGTGCCTCAGACCGTGAGCGACAGCTCTCTGAACCTGAGGTTAATTCACTTGTGGTATCCAGAACACAGATGGCTCCTTCAGTCTGGCCTTATTCAGTACAAACTTGAGAGTGGAGAGAGACAGTTTTGATTGTTTGGATTTGGTGTTTCAAGACAGGGTTTCTCTGTCCAGCCCTGGCTGTCCTGGAACTCTTTCCGTAGACCAGGCTGGCCTCGAACTCAGAAATCCACCTACCTCTGCCTTCCAAGTGCCGGGATTAAAAGCATGCACTACCCGGCAGAGACAGTGATTTTAATCAAATCATGTTTTACTTCACCAATTTTACAGTAGTGTGTAACTGTGTGGGAGAATACATTGTTGAGCTTTCTCCCATGGATTTTTGAAGAAACTATGAAGACCTTGAAGCTTAAGGTTCATGGTGGACTGACCTCTGGCCTCATGTTCTTTCTGGAAGAAACTCAGAGTAGTCATGTCAGAACACAAGTCAGAGCAGAACAGTGTGTGCTTTACAGTCTAGGAACTAAGAAAATTGGCAAGAAGTAAACATTGAATTATAGAATTTATAAGTCACACACACACATAGCATGCACGCACACATACACCCATTTTCTCTTCTAAACCATTGGAGACTACATTGTAACTTGGGATTTTTGTTTTCACTCCTGACTGCTCAATATCCCATCATAAGAATAAGGCTATTATTCACTTCTGGCCCATACTGTGGCGATCACTCCAGAACGTAGCATATTGTTATCTACTGCACTATTTAAAATATCTACATTTGCATTTTTTTCCTTGTTCCAATTATGTGATTTACAGTTGGTTTTTTCAATTCAAGACATAAATACTGTTTAGTTATCCTGTCTCTCTAGTGCTTAATCCACACTTGGTCCCCAATTTCTTTTTTTGCTTGGTGGAGGAAGACTTCACGACAAGGACATTCTAAAAGAATTCAGCCCATTATTTTATATACTCCCTTCTGATGCTGCACAGTGCTTGCTCTAGTGTGAGCTTTCATCCCTCCTCTGTGGTTGGTTGGTTT